GTTATTATCAACTTGTCTTAAACAAAATATTTTAAAAAAATGTTAAAATTTAGAACTGAAAGTTAGATGCTACAATTCGACAAACAAATGAAAGTACAATTATATTTCTTGCATTTATCCTAATCAGGTGCTAAATGCAAGATACAAGAATGCACTTCGATTTATTTGTCTAATCTAGCATCATACTTTTATTTTGAAATTCTTAATTTTTTTTCCTATTAAACCAATGTACTTATAAATTACAAATAAGAATAAAAAAAATAAAAGTTAGAAAAAATTAGATGCTACAGTTAGAAAAAATAAGTACATTGCTATTTCTTGCGTTTACCTCTATTAGAAGGTAAATGCAAGATATAGCAATGTACTTCCATTTGTTTCTCATATAGCATCATACTTTAGATTCAAATTATTAATTTTTAGGAAAAATCCCATGTAACAAATGGACTATTGTTTATTGAAGCTACAAAGATAAAAAAAAAGAAAAAAGAAAAATAGACAAAAATCATGGAAAATGGTTACTTACAGTGTTTCTTTTCTTTGCCAACACCGTTGTTCCAATCTGAAGAAGCTAAGCATGTTTCAACATAATTGGCCTTGGATGATGTAAACTACCCCTTTTTACGCTGCATTCTGGGAGTATAAGTGTGAATAAGATATATTCAACTCTAGTTTACCAATACTTTGTGTATTCAAATGCTAATATGACAGTTACACCCCTTTAGTTTTGATTATTCTGTACTATTTAGCACACCCACAAGTTTTAATTTCCAAGGCAACTTCATAATATTTTGTGTGCTCAAGTTTTAATTTTTTAGGAAAGATATTAAACAAATAATGAAAAGAAGAAACAAAAAAAAACCAACAAACTACAATATTAATAATAGGGTTAAAAAGTATATTTTTGTCGCCTATACAAACCAGGGAAGATTGGAGTTGCATTGCATGAGTGAGGCAAGAAAAGTTGAACTCTATTACTGGTACAATTTTGTGAATTCCAATGGAATTCAACTCCCCCTTCACGTGCACTCAAAAACTGGAAGTGGCTAATACAAAAATAACAATTAAAAATCATTTTAGCATGATTTGTTCCAAATTCTAAGCAAATTACCATATTGTCAATTTGGATGTATTACTCTTTCATGTTGAAAGCGATATCATATACTCTTAATCTGCATAGAAGGTGAAAAAAAGACCATTATAAACAACTTTCAATAATTTAATTATATAACCATGTGTTAGATCCCCATTAAATTAAAATTATTTACATAAGTGAGTTCTTTAAAAAATACAGGATGTCTTGTAAACATAATATCAAATAGTGATTGTAAGAAATTATTTAGAATATAAACTACGGGTAATAAAGTATTATAGAACAGCCTTAATCGGAAAGTTAATCAAGCCTGGAATGGAAATCATAATCAGGATGTGCAGTATAGCAACTTACAATGATCTCCATATTGTAAAATGTCTTTGGATCTATTTGCTCTTGAGGAGTTTCCTGGAACTTTAGATTTGAACTCAAAATCTAATCTGCATTAAACTGATTTCTTGAGACTCACACTGTTTCAAAAGTCAAATCAAACAACAAATTGGTTCAAAATCACAAAAAAACAAAATTAAATAACATAACCTTCCCTGGGGTTTCAAAAGTCAAAACCAAATTCTTTTCTAAAATCAAAACCTAGTGTATAAGAAATAGAAATCAAAAACAAAATTAAACAAAAAAAAAACTTACCTTACCTGAAGTCGAAATTACAATTAACAACAGAGAATCATTTTGGTGATAGTATTGAGAATTAAAGAGAGAGAAGAGAGAAATGGTGGCAAGGGTGGGTGTAGATACCTCTAGTAGGATTTCATCAACTTTTCTCCAAGAAACCTCATCTACTATGGCATCCATTTTTTCTAGAAAAAACAAATCAAAACCTAGAGTAAAAAACCAGTTCATACTATTGAATCACAATCAGTAAGGAAGAAAAACAAAAATAAAAAACTTAGATTTGTTACTTACTTTCTTCAAATCTCTAGAGATGATGGTGAGGTGCTCCGACAGTGGTGATAGAGGTGGAGAGTGGCGATGTTGGTAGTAAGCAAGTGTGGTTCTAGTGTTTTCTGTATGATTTGTAGATCGAGAGCGATGGAGACAGATGCGGTGAATGGAGAAGCGTTTGTGAGGAATGCAGCCGATAGGGTTTTGTGGTTGTGGTGACCAACAACTACCGATTATGAAATAAACAATCTCCAGCCATGGTACTTAGAACACGGATAGGTTAGAACACTGGTAACCACAAAAGGGAAGTAGCCGACGATAGTGTGAAACAACAACAACGACGATGGTGGTGATATGTCATGCAGTTGGCGTTTTCTTGCGAGAGAAAGGAGAATGTGTTTTTCAGATTTGAAATTAGGGTAAAATGAGAGAGAAAGAAGAAGACCCTCAAGAGTAGGTGCGCTTTCAAAGGGAATGGGTGGTACGGTGGTGTTAGGGCTTCTAGAGTGAACAGATGGGTGGTGGCAGAAGGCGGCAATGAATCTTTAAATGGTTATGGATGTGAAGTAGAGTGGTGATGTATGAAGAGAAATTGAAGAAAATTGAAGATAACAGAGAGGTTAAGGAGGTTATTGGTGAGTGAGTTTGTGATGGGGGCGCAATAGGAATGATTCAGTGAGGCTGAGAGAAACGAAGAAGGTGTTTTGGGTCTAAGGTTTTAGAGAGAGAATGAATATGTAGACGCTAAATGGAATTGAATCTGTGATTTGAGATGGAGATGAACAGTTCAACAAACATTGAAAGATTTTTCCGGGATTTCATGCTTCAAGAGTCTCCATCGAAGATTAAATGACCAAGTCAAAAACCTTAGAGATAAGAAAAAGGACCTGGTCAAAGCCGATTTAAGTTTTAAAGCCTATGTTAACCAAGTAAGATATTTATTTCTGCAATGCATAAACTTGTTGTACATGATGCATTAATGGGTTATACCTCTTAATTTTCAGCCTTTGACCAAATTTGCATACGAAGGAGTATATATATATATATATATATATATATATATATATATATATATATATATATATATAGGGTAAATTACACCAATAGTCCCTCGTGTAGGTGCCAAAAAGCATGTTTAGTCCCTATTTTCAAAAATTAACTCGGACCGTCCCTTATATCATAAAAAGGTACATATTTCGTCCCTCGTGACTTTAAATTTGCATGCTTCATCCCTTGTGAGAATTGGAATGACTAAAATGCCCTTTAAAATTTATTTTTCATTTGTTTTTAATATTTAGTATTAATTTATTAAACTTAATATCTATATATCTATCTTTCTGTTTTGTTGAAGAAGACTTAAGCACCACCACCACCACTTGACTGCACAAACACCACCGGAATGCACAACCACCACCGAAATCTCCACAACCATCACCGTAATGCACAACCAACCACCACTTGTTCCCCAGAAAAATAACCACAAAACCACCACCTCCTTCACCATCGCCACCCTCCTGTACAACAACCGATAACCACCCCCTTTGAACATTACCTGTCACCGCTCCATTATCATTACCGTCGGAGGATCTAGCCTTTTGCTGGAGTGCAGATCTGAACGGTAAGGTAGAAGCTTAGGGAGTGCTGCAGATCCAATACCCTCTCGCCGGAAAAACGAGAGGCGGCTAGGGGTTTGGTGCAGCGATGGACCACCCACATTTTCCGGCGCAAACGCGTCAAATACTCCCTTCTCCATTCCCCTCCAATAGTGAAACCTTATTTTATCTTCTCAGTTCGATCGACAACCACAGATCGAGAATCGGAAACCAGATTTGCTACCCTATCGTCGGGAATGAGGATGATGACGTAGATGAAGATGAAGGGTGTTGGCATTTCGTTCTATCTTCTCAGTTCGTTCTTCTTTTTCTGTTCAATGAGGATGATGACGCAGATGAAGGGTGTTGGCAGGAGTGCAGTTGAAGGGTGGTGTACAGACGATGAATGATGGCGGCGATGGTTGCTCTGATGATTGCCTTACTCCTATGGTGGCTGAGATAGAGTTCGTGAGATGCACAGAAAGAAATGGAGGTGATGTGTGGTCATCGGTTGGGTTGCAGAAGAGAGAAGACGGTGGATGAATAGATTTCGTCGGTGGCTGCTTCATGGTTATCGGCGGCTTCATGGTCACAGTCTGTCGATAGTTAGAGAGGAAAAGGGGAAAACGAGTACGGGGAAAGAAAGGGGGGGGGGGAGATACGTTTTTTTTCTTTATTTTTTTATTTTTAATGTAGATATAATAAAGGAATAAAAGAAAATAAAAAAAGAAATTGTTAAGGGTAAAATAGTCTTTTTATGTCTGGAGGGACTAAGCGTGTAAGAAAAAAAAACTAGGGACCGTCCGAGTTAACTTTTGAAAATAGGGACCAAACGTGTTTTTGGGCACATGCACGAGGGACTAATGGTGTAATTTACCCATATATATATATATATATAATATATATATATATATATATATATATATATATATATATATATAGAGAGAGAGAGAGAGAGAGAGAGAGAGAGAGTTGTATGTGGGATGCGAGGTGGGGTTAAATACTTCTTTTTTATTTTTTTAATAAGCAAAATATTAAAATAAATAAAAAAATGTAAAAATAAAATACGAAGAGCAAATTAAATCCTTCATTTCACATCCTTTTAAGTTTGAAATGGAACAAAATCACAATGAAATTCTTATTTTGAACAAGTCGTGTCTAAAACATTTTGAAATTGATCAATTTTACAAATTTGTCTTTTATCAACAACGGAGTTTCAAGCCGGATATTTATCGACGAACGTCGAAGGCCTTTTTCAAAAAAAATTCAAATTATGTTAAGATTATATTTAGGACTACATTGGTAAATAAATTATTCGTTATTTATTTAGTTTAACTCTTGAATTGCGTAATATTTTTTTTTCACCATCCGTCCGATCTACTATTTCTATATATAATTATATATGATCATGCTAACTCATGCAAACGCGCCCACCGTTTCCTCACACTAAGAAATGGAGTATTCATCTCTCAATTCCTCGGCTGCACCCACCACCGCTGTCCGCGGTGTCACAGTCCCCTCAGAAAACCAATCTGCCGCTTCCCCCAGCCTTTAACGAGGTCACCATCTCCACCGATCACCCTCCTCTCCGTGTCATCCCTGGTTCCTATGGCATTCCCTTTTTCGGTCCAATCAAAGATCGACTCCAGTATTTCTACGGCACCGGCGGCCCAGTCGAGTTCTTCAAGTCCCGTGTTCAGGAATTCCGGTCGACGGTGTATCGGACCAACATGCCTCCTGGCCCTTTCATCAGCAGCGACCCAAAAGTCATCGCCCTCCTCGACGCCAAAAGCTTTCCCATTCTCTTTGATGTATCCAAAGTTGAAAAGAAAGACGTGTTCACCGGAACCTACATGCCCTCCACCAAACTCACCGGAGGCTACCGTGTACTCTCCTACCTCGATCCTTCCGAGCCTCGACATGCTCAGCTTAAGAACCTCATGTTCTTCATGCTCAAATCTTCAAGCAGCAGAGTAGTTCCTCAATTCGAATCCACTTACACCGAACTCTTCAGTAGTCTTGAGATACAGCTAGACAAAAGCCGGCGAAGCTCCATTCAACGCCGTCGGTGAACAAGCAGCTTTCCGGTTCCTCGGCCGGGCTTACTTCGACGTCAACCCGGAAGATACAAAAATCGGAAAAGATGGCCCGACACTCATTAACAAGTGGGTGTTTTTCAATCTCAGCCCGATACTCACCCTCGGCCTACCGTGGTACATTGAGGAACCTCTGCTCCATACTTTCCGGCTGCCAGCTTTTCTGATAAAGAAAAGTTACCAGAAACTTTACGATTACTTCGACTCAGCTGCAACTACAGTCATCGAGCAAGCAGAAAACCTAGGGATCCCAAAAGACGAAGCAGTAAACAATATCTTATTCGCTGTGTGCTTTAATACATTCGGTGGGATGAAGATCTTATTCCCCAGTACACTCAAATGGATAGGCCTTGCTGGTGAAAATTTGCAGACCCAGTTGGTGGAGGAGATCAGAGGTGCTATAAATTCCTACGGCGGCGGAAAGGTGACAATGGCTGCGATAGAGCAGATGCCGTTGATGAAGTCCGTCGTGTACGAGATTCTTAGGATTGATCCACCGGTAACTTTCCAATATGGGAGAGCTAAAAGCGACCTCACCATTGAATCACATGACGCTGCTTTCAACGTGAAGGAAGGTGAGATGTTATTCGGGTACCAACCATTTGCAACCAAGGACCCGATAGTATTTGACAGACCTGAAGAATTTGTCGCTGATCGGTTCGTTGGGGACGGAGAAAAGCTGTTGAAGTATGTGTGGTGGTCAAATGGGCCGGAGACGGAGATTACAACGGTGGAAAATAAGCAATGTGCCGGAAAAAGCTTTGTTGTGCTGATAACAAGGTTGTTCGTGGTTGAAATTTTCCGGCGATATGACTCTTTCACCGTGGACGTGGCTACGTCTGCTTTGGGTTCGAGTATCACAATCACGTCCCTGAAGAGAGCTAGTACCTGATGAGTAATTTGAGAATCTTGGCGAGGGTAATGTTGGGAATGGAATGAGTTGTTTTGTTGTTTTTTTTTTGTTCCAAATAAAGACAGAGAAATAAAAAGGATGGGGAAAACTATGTATGACTTCGGTAGTTCCAAGGCCATGCTCTCTAGCAGTGGGGGTCCTGAGTCCTGACCACCAAGCACATTATCAAAATAGTTTTGCATTCCTCATTATTGTGAATTGGTATTTTCAAAAGAAGATATAGATATGGATAACATTTTGGAATAGTATATTATCCATTGATGATTGATCATTGGTTATATAAGTAGAAAATAAAAACATTGGGAAATTGGTTGAAAAAATAAAAAAAGAAAGACAATGTAAGGGCACATTATAGGAAATATTTTTTTTTACAACCGCGGAAAATTTATAAAAAACTAGTAAGAAATCAGAAAAAGAACATCACCACATGTTACAAGTTAAGGTAGGATTATGTAACCAAGAACTCCAACTTATCTTAGCTTTGCTACACCTATTGGAAATCCAGAAGAAAACATTTTCTACCATATCATCAAAAAAAAAAAAATAGATTTCCTAGGCAAAACCATTCCAAATATAGTGGAATTTAAAAAATTTCATAAGCACCAAAAAGTGGTCAAAACCACCAAGAAAGAATAGAATCAATGGAGAGGTGTTGGGGAGTCTGAACTCCCCACCAAATAGCAATGCGGGTCCATAAATCAATCAGCTCACTACAACCTATAAAAATATACTCAATGAATTCAAATGTAATAGAACAGACAGGACACAAGACCCTATCCCGAACTAAGGCAGATCTATAAGAATCCAGCACAAAGACCCTATGAAAAGTGACTGCAAGAGGTTGACCCCCCTTCCACACGTCGTGCCAAAAAGAAGTCATGCTTCCATCTCCAATCCTGATTGGACAACAAGATTGAAGATCTAAACCACAATCTCTGATTTGAGACATCATCCGGATAATCCCATTCCATGGACCCGTCCAACATCTTCTAGGAGTTAAAGAGCCACAACCCCCATCAGAATCGTATAACGCTGTAACAACCCGAATCCAAATCAAATCCAAATAATGAAAGAAACACAAACGCCAACGAAAAGGCATGGCCCTGTTCAAAGAGAAAAGACTCCCAACTCCAAGACCACCCTCTATTCTGTCAGCTAGAACTCTCTCCCACTGGACCCAATGCATACGTCTATCGTCCAACTCTGCACCCTATAAAAACCTAGCTCGTAAAGCCTCTAAAGAATTGAGAACAGAAATCAGAGCCATAAATATAGACATCAAATAGCTACCCAAACTCCTAAGAACCGACTTGATCAAGGTAAGACGACCACCATACGAAAGACATTTCACCTTCCAACCCAATAATCTGTGTAACACCTTGTTTCGAATCGTTTCCTAATCCGGGGCCGTGACCCGAAGATAAGTTATCATAAGGCTATGGGCATTTGGGGAATGAGAGATTTAGACCCCTTGGGTGTGGATAATGTAGATTAGGTGATCCGAGAGTTCAGTTTGTGTTTTGGAGCCCAAGGGTATAACCATAAAGTGATAGTTCGGGCCTTTTATGAATTTTGGATTTAAGCTCGGGAAGTTTTAAGGCAAAGGAGAGTCGATAGAATAGTAGAGCTTTTCATTACCTTTTCGTGGATATAAAGAACGTTGAAATCAGAATTAGAACAAATAAGTTATGGCCTTCGGAAGATTGGTGGTTTTGGTCCCTAGTCGGGTACGTTGGGCGTACTCTATGAGTAGGTTGGGCGTACTGGCTCATTGGTTTGGTCGTGGAGGCGCCCATGTATACGGTGCGTACGTGGGAGTACGCAGGGCGTACGGTCGGCTGGGGCAAACCTTATTTTTTAGGGTTTGTGCCCTATTTAATCACCTTAGTTGCTTTTAGACTCTCTTATGACCAACCTCCATCTCTCCAAAACCCTAAGAACAAAACCCTAAAATTCCTTTGAGTGTTTTGAGATTAGAAGTGAACTTTGAGGGTGTTTTAGGAGATTTTGAAGGAAGAGGAACTCTTGGAAGTTGCATTGGTGTGGCTAGAGCTTGAGGATCCAGAATCATCATCAACTTGGAAAGATATTTGAGGTATAGAGCTCTTAACTTGATGGTTCATTTTGTTAGATCTAGTTAGGGCTTGTTTTTGTACTTTTTATGGTCCTTTAAATCTTGCATGAGAATATGAGCTACTCTAGAAGATAAGGATGATAGATCTTAACATTTTTGAGGTCCCTTGTTCATAAAAATGCAATATTAATGAGTTATTGTGTACCATGCATGAGTTAGGGTTCTTATTATGGATTTTATTGAGTATTGGGTCCCATTAATCCATGCAAAAGAGTAAAGTTGCCAACTTTAGGATCAGATCTGAGAATTGGACATAGCGGCTTAACTGATTAAGACTTAATGGGGCTTATGGGTTGGTTGTGGAGTACGTTGGGCGTACCCAGCTCTGTGACATCCCCATTTTCTCGGCCAAAAAATACCGATTTTGTTTATGCTTTATAAAAATAAGAGTACTTCTTTTAATAAAAATGTTGCGGAATTTATTCCCAGAAAAACATGATAAATTCGTTATCAAAGCATTTCCGAAGAAATGTATTTTTATCCATTTTAAAACATTTGAGATGTCATCGTCAACACAGAAACATAAGCATAAACAGAACTTACATTCATTATACTAGTGATCCACATCTCTTTTAAATCCCTCAGTGTAAAGTAGCTTCATATGGACACCTGTGATACAAATAAGCTTGAGTGGGTCAGGTTGGGAAACTTGGTGAGTACATAGGATTTTTCAACCCACAATAATATAATTATTATTTTAAACATCAAACAATCAACCCAATTACCCATCCCCATTATCTTCTTTACTCTTGATTCAGCTATTCCTCGTTCATTCATTCCTAAGGAGTATCCTAAGGAATCGACACTAAGTCGGCATAGTCGCCAGGGTTTATCTCGTTTATTGAAAGTATCGTTTTCGAGAGTCCACTCGTAATACCTGTCAATGGGTTTTTATAGTACACCGGGTGAACACATCGTTCACAACACCTACAGGTTGCGAGCCTGCTAGTGTTCCACTAGACTGTCTAGAATAGTCTGTGGTTGTCATCCATACTCTGCTAGATGACGGGGCCATCACTTGGGTCATCGTTTGGCTCATCGTTTTGGCTCATCGTTTTGGCTCATCGCTTTGGCTCATCGTTTTGGCTCATCGCTTTGGCTCATGGCTTTGGCTCATCGTTTTGTCTCATGGCTTTGGCTCATCGTTTTGGCTCATCGCTTAGGTCATCGCTTCGCACCATATTTTATCACTCATATATCATCGCTCATCATTCATCTCATCTTTCATCGCTCATCATTTATCTCATCTTTCATCGCTCATCATTTATCTCACCTCTAATCTACCCATGTTTTACCCAACACATTTTGTAGATATAAAATACATATACAGTTTAGATCATTTAAAACATGTATAAAACGTTTCATCCAGCATAGACAGCAAGTATTCAGATAGTATACATACATAGCACGTAATTTATATAAAATACTTCATATCTATGTGTAAGATGAAAGTAACTATGCACTCACTTGTTAAAGTGATGATTCCCAAACTCGGGCAGCGCTTCGCTTCTAACGATTCTATTTTCCTCCGACGAAACCTAGTGTTATTACCACTAGATTTTAGTCTAATATTTACTGTGACTAATTATTAGTCTTAGCATTATTATTATTATATAAGCGCTTAAACAATATTTTCCAACCACTATGTACAGACACGGGCCAGACATAAATCACCGGAGGGCAAGACCATTTTGGCATATAGCACTTCTGAAATCCAACAACCCTATGCGGCCCTTTAAACAAGATTCCCTGTACCGCAAGTGGTTAAAAAGATATTATGACGACACTTATATAACTCATAATAATAGCCCAAATACTCATTATAAGGTACTAATAACATTACTATATTGAAACTTAAGGTATACTAAAGATAGGTTAGGCGTAGCTCACTTACAATGGGTTTTCTCGAAAACCGGGCTTCGCTAGAGCAGCGTTCCCGAGCCGAAAGGCTCTTTTCTCGGGGCTTCGGGAGCGTCGGGGCTTCCTTCGGGTGCTAGGAGGTTTACCTAGGCTTAGGGGGATTTTGGGGGCTTAGAGAGAGAAAGTAGAGAGAGAAAGTGAAGTTGGGAAGGTGTGAAGAATGAGGGAACCCGAAACCTCTATTTATAGGATGGAATCCTGCTCTAATCGTCTATTTGGCCTCCAACTCGTCGAGTCCATGCTAGGTGTCACCATTCTGGTGGCAAAACGTGGGTAGCCTATATTATGCCACGTCACCCCTTTTGCAGCAGCACTCTGCCGACTTCTAAACCCCGTAACTTTCGCATACGAGCTCCGTTTTCGACGTTCTTTATATCCACGCGTAGGTAAAAACAAGATCTACAACTTTCCTTTTGACTCCATAGACTAATTCTCGACCGATTTTAAATTTAACAGTAGGAGGAGATTAGACTGTTAAATGACCGCGAAGAATTCGTAATTCCTTCATACGGACTCCGTTTTCGTCTATCTTTTTATATTTGAGTTCTTTTTAATGAGATCTTCAACTCTGATTTTGGTTGCGTAGGCCAAAAACCGCTCGAACTAAAATTCGAGTTTCGGGCCGTGCACTGCTATGACAAATCTTAGAAAATTCATAATTTCCTCATACGAAGTCAGATTTGGGCGTTCTTTTTTTGTATGTTCTCGGTTTAACGTATACTACAACTTTTGTTTAGATCACTAAGGCTAAAAAGTCCTCTATCGTAAATTCACTATTTACGTCTCCCGGTGTCGTGCCGGTTTTGCCGAAAAACTTTGACATGTCATAACTTATTCGTTATAACTCGGATTTCGGCGTTCTTTATATATACTGAACCCTTGAGACATATTCTACAATTCGGTGAAGAATATTTATTCTAAATAA